GGTTTAGGGGTTTAGGGTTTACTAAATCTCCCCTAAACACTAACCCTTACCCTCAAAGGACTCATAGTTCACTGCTTTTGGTCCCACAGGCCCTATTATATAAGGCCTTTGGGGCTATTTTGATGCTGAGGGGTTATATGCATGGGGTTTACTGGTTTAGGGGTTTAGGGGTTTGGGGTGTATTGCTTAAGGTAATAGAGAAGCCTAAGCAGTTACCAATATTACTGTTCGGGTTCCTTATTACCTAAAAACCCTAAACCCTACACCCTAAACACAAAACCCTAGTCTAATCATTAAGGCCTCTACAGTAGCATGGGGTTTAGGCGTTGATACGTAGGATGTGCGGTGCAGGTTTCACTGATTCGGATCTCCTGGCTGCAGGGAAAGAGGATCGTTTAGGGCTTAGGGTATAGGGGTCTAGGGCTTAGGGTTTAGGGTGTTTACAGTAAGAAAAAAACAAGAAGGCTACCCGCTACTGTGCTCTAGAATGCTGGAGCCGCTGGTCAACAGATCGTGCAGTCTACATCCTTCAAAAGCGTCTGTAGAAGTGAGTTGACAGGGTTTGGTTATCATGCCCTAAACCCTAAACCCTGAACCAACAGTTTATATGGTCTTCTGGCCCTTCGCGCCCAAAGCCAACCCCCGAAACAAAAGCAAAGCCCAAGAAATCCGTAGTGACAATTACCCTCAGGGTTTAGGGTTTAGGATCTTGGGTTTAGGCTTTAGGGCTTAGGGAAGTTTAGCGGGCAAATTGATGGCGGTGGGATGGGAATGGAAAGTCTGAAAGAGGGTTTCATACCATTCCTATCATCCCTTGATCCCTTCTAGTCACTCTTAGTGGCTGGGGGCCTGCGCCACCGGCATTTATGGTAAGTGAAGCCCTACGTCAAAACCCCTGTCACCCGCGAACCACAAAGCTCTAAGAAATCGAGACCTTACTTGGAGGTTTGGAAGAATCATGACCCAATTATGACGGCAGGCATGACTGAATCGCATGTCCCAAAGGCTACGTTAGCTAGGCCCTTTGCGGGTTTAGGATGAAAGGGCTAGGGTCTGGCAGTACTGGCCTGAACCCCCGACCCTAAACCGAAGCCTTAAGCCTTTCATGGAAAAAGCAGTGGGAAACTTTCAACATCCATAGTAGTGTCAGGTTTAGGGTTTAGGGAGGGGTTTAGGGTTTAGGGTTTAGGGTCATAGTGTCCTCAATCCTGCAAGCCCCGAGCCATCGCTCTGTTTCACTTGTCCAAGTGTCAAGCATAAGCAGTTCCGACTTGTCTAGAAACCCAAGACCCTGAACCCCAAACCCTGCCTAAACCCTAAACCCTAAACCCTAAACCCTAAACCCTAAACCCAAGACCCTGAACCCCAAACCCTGCACCCCCATCCTAACATCTGAACCCGACGCCATGAGCCCTGAACACCTCGATCCAGCAACCCAGCACCCGAAACACGAAGCCCTAAATCCACAACCCCAAACCCTACCCCCAATGCCGCCCAGCCCACCAACACCCCGAAAAAGCTCTTTTGGGCTTAGGGTGCGGGCTTGAGGGAGTTTAGGGTGTTAGTTTGGGTTGTGGGTTTTGGGCTTAGGGTTCAGGGTTTGGGGAGTTTCGGGCTTTAGTTAGGGTTGTGGGTTTTGGGCTTAGGGTTTAAAGTTCAGGGCTTTTGGGCTTAGGAATTCGGCCCTAGCCCCGGACCAAAGCCCTTCCTTCTGCCTTGGTTGAAGAAAGAAAGCGGGGATGCACCGCAGCCTCGAGCTCCGCCTGCTCTTCAAGCATGTCCCGGGGATAGTTCGAGGCTGGGAAGCTTTGGGCTTAGGGTTTCAGGTTTCAGGTTGAAGGGATTGGGTTTAGGGTTTAAGGTTTAGGGTTTAGGGTTTAGGGTTTAGGGTTTAAGGTTTAGGGTTTAGGGTTTAGGGTTTAGGGTTTGGTTTTCAGGTGGGCTGTCAAAAAGGTCGGATTTACGATGTCACGTGACCCAGAAAGAGGAGTCCGAGACAGACCCGGAGTTGGTGGGGGCCCATACAGGAATCCCTTAAGGAACTTTAGACAAATCCGGAGAAGAGTTCTTTCAAGGACCATAAAGGAACGCCTTAAGCCTTCAAGGACCCCCTGAAGCCCCAAACCCTAAACACTAAACCCTAAAGCCTAAAGCCCCCTGCAGATCCATCTGATGTCGCCCAGCTTCGACTCGGCAGCATGGGTGCGCGCCTGATGGGAGCGCTTCGGGGGTTTATTTTAGGGCTCCTTGAAGGGATTTGGGAGATTTTGGTTTAGGGTTTAAGGTTTAGGGTTTAGGGGTTTAGGGTTTAGGGGGAGTTTAGGGGAATTTTGATTTCAGGGTTTAGGGTGTACTTGTTTTGGCTTGATGGACGGAGGGTCGCGGGGTTCACGGGGCGAAATGACACATGCATGCGCGTCTGTTTGTATGTACGTACGTGCGTACGTATGTGTCCAACTTTTTACCACACATACACAGATAGATAGATAGATAGATAGATAGATAGACAGACAGATAGATAGACAGATAGGTAAGCAGGTAGATAGGTAGATAGGTCGATAGGTAGATAGGTAGATTGGTAGATAGGTAGATGGATAGATAGATAGATACGTAGAAAATAGATAGATAGATAGATAGATAGATAGGTAGGCAGATAGGTAGATAGGTAGATAGGTAGATAGATAGATAGATAGATAGGTAGATGTGTCTATATATGCACAGATGTATAGATTGATACAGTCAG